GAAGCACGTATGACAAAAGGACGCAACTTAATTAGTTTTGACAAGTAGTAAATTAAAGCCAAAAAGCAAGAAAAAATATATGATTAGTTAATTTTAAGTAAATTTCTTAAATGATTGGCTTACTACACGTAACGTATTTATAGCCATTTACCAGTGAAAAGTTATTCCATTATTTCTCTCGTTTTATAGCCCAGATCTACCATACACTCAGGGCCTATTTTTCATCTGGTCAGGCCCTAAGGCCCAAGCAAAAATTCGGGCCCTCTTTTCCAATAAAATTCAAAAATTCTCTTGTTAGTTTGGGTCAAAAAAATAAAACAATTAATTTAATTTTTTTAATAATTTTAAAAAATAAATATACATTATTATATTTAACAAAATAAATAATGAAAAAAAAAACAGCAATTAATTCTAATTTTAAAAAATAAATATTTTCTTTTAACATAACCGAGAACAAAACTTACCTAAACAAAATTTCTAATAAACTTTTTTTTAGTGAACAAAAAACAAAGTAAACAATAACAATAAATAATAAATACACAAGTAAATATAATTTAAAAAAAACAGAAAATATTTATATAACAAAACTTAAACAAACTCTCCCACGTAGGACGAAGTGTTATTTAGTTATTTTTAGATTGGGGAATCGCCGATGCCGGTATCTTTGATATAAATTTATAAATAATTTAAAAAAATGCATTTATTATATCAATCTAAAGCTTATTTTATTTAATTCTATTTTCCTTATCAGAGGTAACTGTTTTTTTTTCCTCTGCTATGTAAATTTACATTTGAAATTATGAATATTTTATAACCTTTATCGGGCCCCCCAGATCACCGGGCCTAAGGCACGGGCCTTATGGGCCTTATGGTAAAATAGGCCCTGCATACATTTTGTTTGTTATGTAACCTGAAGGTGCTTCTAGTACTAAAACCATGTATAACAAGTAAACAGAGTAATTTTTTTTTCAGAAAATTCAAAAACACGTCAATTTTGTTTGTGAGGGGGACAACTTTTGCCCCAAAAATGATTGCAAAATCTTCAACCCTCTAAGTGGGGGTGTCATACCCCAACTTTTTTTTAAATGGGAAGGGGGGTCAAGTGGCGCCGCAATGAAAAGAGCTTTCTATTCTCTATATTTCACCGGTTCGTTTTTGAAAATCGGTCGAGTCATTGAGAAAATATGAAGGATTGAAATTTGAAAAGTTTATTTAAACATTTATCAGAGTAAATGATAAGGATAAGTTCCTTCGACCAATTTGCTGTTTTTTCTTATGATTTCTAGATGTTTACGCATTTTTTCACTTGCCACAAGGTTGTACGATCGGGTGCGGTAGCTGCTAGATAGCTGTTCTGTGATTTGTGCGTTGAAGTTCTTCTCAATATCGTTAAACTTTTTAACAGTTATGATGTACTCACTTGCAGAAAAAGTGGAAATAATCGAACTTTATTTTAAAAATAATGAATGTATTGGGTTGCGCACATATTCAATGGACGCTATCCTGACAAACACCTTTATGGCAAAATTGTTCGCGAGTTAGTAGCAAAATTTCGCGAAACTGGTTCCGTTACGAATAAAAAGAGGCAAAAAGAGAAAATCCTGTAGTAAATGAAGGTATGGAGTTATTCTTACTGGACCAAGTTGTCATGGATAGTACGCTGAGTACAAGAAAATTAGCCAATGAGACTGGCGTGAATCGTCCAAGTGTCCAAAGGATATTAAAAAAACACAAGTTTCACCCGTACAAAATTCAGTTGGGACAAGAACTTAACGAAGATGATTTTGATAAATTTTGTGAAACTATGAGTGCACGAGTGGCGAATGATAATAATTTCCTATTTAATGTGTGTTTTTCGGATGAGATTCTTTTTGAACGGTGTAGTTAATTGGAACAACTGTCGGTACTGGACTGAGGACAACCCCAGGGTTTTTCACGAGATGCACATACAAAACCCTCAGAAATTGAACGTGTGGGCTGGTATTTTTGGAAATCCTATTGTAGGTCAATTTAACGATATTGAGAAGAACTTCAACGCACAAGTCACAGAACAGCTATCTAGCAACTACCGCATCTGATTGTTTAACCTTGTGATAAGTGAAAAAATGCGTAAACATCTAGAAATAATAAGAAAAAACAGCAAATTGGTCGAAGGAACTTATCCTTATCATTTACTCTGATGTTTAAATAAACTTTTCAAATTTCAATCCTTCATATTTTCTCAATGACTCGACCGATTTTCAAAAATGAAGCGGGGAAATATAGAGAATAGAAAACTCTTTTCATGCGGTGCCACTTGACCCCCCTTCCCATTTGAAAAAAGTTGGGAGATGACACCCCCGCTTAGAGGGTTGAAGATTTTGCAATCATCTTTGGGCAAAAGTTGTCCCCCTCACAAACAAAATTGACGTGTTTTTGGATTTTTTGAAAAAAAAAATACTCTGGCTGTTCTGCCTTGCGGAACGTTTTCGATGGGCCATCCTGTATATATAAAGACGGAACAGTTAAAACATTACATTTTTCAAAATAGTAAGTAGGAATCTCTACAACTATATAGAAGGCCACGAAGACCAACAATCCCTTGGTCTTGGTCTTATAGCAAGTCTTAAACTTTTTGTAATAGATATTCACTAGTGGCGCTTTCTACATAAAATATTTAAATAAATAGTATTTTAAGTAACTTAACCCTGCAGTACACGCGGGCTAAAAAGTACCTGCTAGTAAAGGTAAACGCGGTTATCTGAGAGATACTTATTTTTTGTAAATTAAAAATTGAGTGACTGTAAAATGAAACATCATTTGATATTGTAAATTTTATTGAGTAAGTGAAAAAAAGTAAAGAATATTCTAACGAAACATCACTATTCTTAAGTTCAGATGTAAGTATATAATGTTTATAAAATTTTTCAAATTGCTTATATGTTCACATAATTAACTATCACAATCACTTTCAAAATTATGTTTATAGCAATCAGTTTGACAAATAGTATTAGAATGTTCTAAACATAATCTTTAATTACAGAAATGACAGGAAAATTTTGTGAGTCTTTTCTTTTTGATTGTTTTGTAATGATCACATAATTTTCATCAGTGTTTGTCCCGGCATTAGAGCATTCTTGAAGTGGAAATATTCTGCTTATTCCATCTGTAATAGGACCTAGTAGTCCTGTTCTATTTGTCTGTCTGCGTTAAAGGTGTTCAGATAATAACTCATTGGAGAGTGTACGCAAAAAAGCTCGACGGCTTTCAACTTTATTTTTATTTCCAGTATTAATAATTTGACTATGTATACCGGCAATATTCAAAATACTGAAGACCATTGGCCATCATTTTAGTAATCCTAGCCACATTATAGAGAGAACACATTTGATCAACTGCATTATAGAACGTAACGATTGATTTTATGAAAAATTACCTGGCAACACGCGGGTATCCCTTAGATAATTTGTATTAATATTTGCAAACATCTATACACCACAACGGTCAATACTATACTGATAGCTGTAGCCACTTCTTCTGGGAAGATAGCTCAGGGGACGTGGCTCTGCTTTTGTTCGTTCCAGATAAAATAAACAAACATTGAGGGTGGTATCTAACAGAACCGCCGCGTGTACTGCAGGGTTAATGGCAAATGAAACTGATGAAACAATATTTGACGAATGCTTTTATTTTACAATATATCATATTGAAGCAGGCACTGGTTTCTTTAAAATGTATGTATAACTCGGAAAAACACTATTTACAATAAATTAAAATAATTATTTAGGACAAATAAGTAAGTTTTTGAAATGAAACTTCTTTACGCGCGTTAGGAATAAAAATTCAAGGCCGTGGCGCACAAGCTAGCTAGAGGAAAAGTGGTAACGGCAGTGTTGCCACAGCCACCCCATTCAGGATAGATTTATCCCTTTATAAAACAATTTAACCCCGCTATCTCGTGATAATCTACCTCGATGAAAAATAAGCTTGTGGCAACTTGGGTAACGATCTGTGCCATACGCGGCTAAGAAAATTACCATAATAATGTTGAAACTGTACCAATCTTGATGTGTACCAATACCTTATGGTTGTGTGTTAGGAAGTAAATTTTCATGCATATTTTCATCGATAGGTTTGTAGCTTCTGAATAACGTTCTAGGTAAAGCATCTAGTTCATTTGCTAGCTCAGAATTAGAATTTAGAGTTAGTAACTCGTATTTTCATTGGACGACAAGTCATAGTTATTTCAAACCAATAATCAACGAGAATATTCGTATAATTTAATAAAATTACTGTAAACCACTATAAATAATGAATAATGAACAAAACATTTAAACAAAAACAGACCACACAAAAAAATGTTAGTAGCAGTTAGTAGTAGTCAGTGATATAGATGTAGTAATATTTTGGTTTAATGGCCACAAATGCCAGGGATATCCGGCCGGTTGATGAATTATCGTTTTTTAATAAAAAATAAAAAAAAACATTATAAAGCTAGAACACACTGTTTTTATTATATGATATTTTAATTATAAGTGTAATTATATTATTATTATAAATAAAAATTTCGGAATTAAGGTTGGTATTTTGAGACACCCTGCACACATTAAAATAATTAATATGAATGTATCTAATTAATTACCTATCTTAATTGATTAAGTACATTCAGATTTGTATCTAAATTATATTTTTAATTTTTTTTAATATATGTCTATAACGAAAAACTTTGTATACTACCTTTTGTACTTTGAAATATCCCAATTTTAAATTTAATTAAAATCATCTACACACGAAGAAATTTAAATACATATATCAAACGAATTTTTAATTAGTTTAACTTTAAAAAAAATGTAAAACCGAATGGAGCAAAAGAAAAAGAATAATATTTTAAATACAATTCACAAAGGACACCCTATTTTTTCAATTTTAAACTAGGTTACATCTTGACTAATAAAAAAGTTCGGAACCTTCTGGAAGGCTCCGAACTAATTTGCATGGGAATGTTAAATAAAATCACTTACCCAAAAATTTTACAAAACTGTGTGGAGAATATTCCGTAGATTATGGGGTTGGCAGCTGAATTGAGCGGGGCCAGACTCTGCACAAACGAAGCTATCGCCGTATTTGTCTGGGTCGGGGGGATATAGCCGAACACTTGCAGCAGGTCGAATATTATGTAAGGGCTCCAACAAAGGATGAAAACTGGAACAATGTGGTATAGAGTTTACAGGGTGCTTTGTAAAGTCTGGACAAATTTATTTCAAGTAAAATACCATGTTTAAACTTTTTGAAGTGAAACTTCATCACGCGCGCTGGGAGTAAAAATTGAAGGCCGTGACACACGAACTAGTGGTAACGAAAAGTGGTTAAAGATCGGAAAAGTGGTAACGACAGTCTACGGCTTAGAAATACGTAGTGACGCGACGTGTATTTGTGAGCAGTCCACGTGTTAATGAAAAATATTGATATATTAATACAAATTTTGTGAAATTGAATCAAATTATTTATTAATTTTATATTTTACGCGTATAAAACTATTTTTTACGCTTATAGAACTATTTGTTCTGAACTATTTATTACTTGTTACATACAAAACCTTTTTTATGTGTAAAAAACAATTTGTTACACGTAAAAAATATTTTTTTTAATTTATTACTCTTTCAACATTTGAAACTACACTTTTTCAAACATGTCCTTCAAATCCTTCAATTTAATAACTGTTAATACGAAGTTTCATTTCAAATTTGTGCACATAGTGTACACACAATTTTTTTATAGCATTTTATTTTATCAGAAATTCTTGGGAGTTGTTTTTGAAATATTATAGATATACTCGTAAGGCACTAAATATTCTGTATTTTAGTATATGCGAGATAAAAATATGTAAATATTAAAACAAAATGTTGTTTTTATATTTCATATAGATTTTATCAAGTCATTGTATATGAAAAGAAACAAAACGTACCAATTCCTATTAAAATAGAGGGCAATACCTTAGAACAACAAGGTCTACAAGTTCATATACTTGGGGTCCTGGTTTGGACACCTTGAACAACGACGTGGAAATAAAAACCAGAATAGAACAAGCGAGAAATGCATTTTTAAAAATGAAGAACGTCTTCCAGAACCTCAGATTGGACCTTGAGTTGAGAACTAGGCTCGTTAAGTGTTATGTTTGGTCAATCCTATTATACGGAGCAGAAACATGGACACTGAAAGTTCAAGAGATGAATCGCGTCGAATCGTTCAAAACATGGATATATCGAAGAATGCTTAAAATTCCATGGACAGCCCATATCACAAATACCGCAGTCTACAACAGAATAGGCAGAGAAAGAGAATTGCTCAATATAATAGAAATAAGAAAAACATCATACTTAGGGCATATATTGAGAAACGAAAAATAACACGTCTTACAATTAATAGTTAAGGGTAAAATTGAAGGAAAAAGAGGTCTTGGCAGGAAGAAACTATCTTGGTTGAGAAACATCAGAAACTGGACTCACCTAATTTTTGAAGAACTCATAATGAAAGCCGAGAATCGTAAAGATTTTGCCAATATGATCGCCAATCTTCACGGACGAGACGGCACGTAAAGAAGAAGAAGATAGATTTTATATTTTTATATTTCAGTCGATTTTATATCATACATAAACACAATTCTTCTTTTTATGTATTAAATTTTGTAACCCTTTAGTACTTTTCTGTTTTTCTTTAATAATATTGTGTAGAGAATATTCCGTAGATTAAGGGGTTGCCTTCTTATTCGATAGTCAAGCAGTATTAAAACCGATCAACTCACTAATCATTAATTCGAAGTTGGTTAAAGAAAATCTAGAGAAGTTGAACAAATTAGGCAAGGATAATAAAGTCCTTCTACTCTGGGTAATCAAGGAATAAAGATTAAGAATTAATAGAAGGTAATGAAAAAGCAAAGATCTAGCTAGAAAAGGAGTGGACACTCCACTGACTAGAGCAGAACTGTTCTGTTTCCCAAGTGGAAATTTGCTTAATGCGTAACCCAAGAACCTGGAAGACTCCATCTGTAGCCTGGAATGGGAATCCCCTAACTGTCTAAGACAATCGAAGAAATCTCTCAGAACTTACGATTGAGAAAAATCAGAGATTTTCTTTCATTTAAGTAAGAACACTCTTCGGTTCGTCACGGGGTTTTTAATACGACACTGTCTCCTCAATGAACACCTCAGTAGATTGAAGCTAAGAAGCAACGGCGAATGCAGATTGTGTGGGGAAAATGGGCAAACACCTCATCACAGCGTACATCAAGACGACAACCATTTGTGCCATAAACTTTGGTACTCTCTCTGTAAAACTGTCTCACATACTGGCTTTTGTCAAAGTCCTAAGACTGAATGAAGAGTTATAACTCAAGAAAGGGGGACCCAATAGACCTATAAGGTCGCGATAATTAATTTCCCCCATCCCATACAATCTAAAATCTGTAATCAAGACAGATCGCTGAACAGAAAGTTAAACAAATTATTTTGTATGGTCTGTTTTAAACACCCAATCTGTCTAACTTGCTATTTTATATAAATTATCGATTTAGAGAAAATAGAAAATACTCCCTGTATAATTTAACATCTACTTCTATTATACAGGTTAATTCTGGATTTATCTTTATAGGCCATTACTATTTCATAGATTATAGCTTCTCCATTGAATATTACATTAATATTAATCCCTTAGTTTATTAGGCCATTTTTTTTAGATATAATCAATCTAACCTTTTTAATCTACTGTAAAAAATCTAAAATTATTCAAAAAGTGTTTACCTGTTACTATAATTAATGTGATTTTAATAGTCTTAACTTTGGCACGTGGTATGAGACCTCTGGATGATGCTCGTCGATCATTGTCAGATCCTAAAATGTATTAAAACATAGATGTAGAAAAATAAGTTGATTTTTTAAGTAGGGAAAAAGTATTTCTTACAGTTAGAAATTATAAATAATTCTAGAGCTTTAATTATATTTAAGATACTTAAGCATTATTTCAATTAGTAATTTTACAATACTTATAATTATAGTCTTTAGTTCTATACTTATTGTTTGATTAATGTTGTAAGTTAGTAATAAGAGTTAGAACTATTTAAAATACCGTGTGATAAAAAAAAACGGCGTCAAAGACGACTGGGAAATGACAATCGATGATAATTTTAGCGAGGTTAATCTCTAGATGTCATTTTTACTAAAAATTGACATCAAACTGGTCAAAAATTAACATTAATTATATAATTATTAAAAAAGGATAGCACGTTTCCAGGGACAAATATATTTCCAAAAAATATTTTTTTTTTCGAATATTAAACTACACCATTTAAAAATTTTCACTCAATATAGAAATAAATTATAATCTTCTTAAAGCCATCTGGCAGTAAGCGCCATTAAAAAATAAAGAAGAGTACAGGCTAAGTAAATGACGTCTAGAGCTTGACCTCGCCAAAATTGTCATTCCCAGCCATCTTCGATGCGGTTTTTTTCCAATCGTATGCAATAAGAAACTGAAAACAGAAATTTTGATTGAACAATTCCAAAAATAATAGTATTAGAAATTATTATAATAGTAATAAAAGCAAGTATTTATAAAATAACTTACCTATTCGATCATTAATACTGTTTTTATTTCCTCTGCCAATCTGAGGACCGCTCTTTGACCAAATAGTCTTGATCATGATAGCATAGCAAGTAGTTATTATAATGGTTGGTATGACGAATAATGCCAAAGAAATGAGAACCATATACAGTTGCCATTGCCACTGTTCTGGAAATTCTATCCAACACTGGGGTTGATCTGCAAAACGAAAATTATAAAATGCCTAATGTGTATTTATTATTTTTATTATTGATTTATTATTATTTATTGATTGACATTATGAATTTTTATCACAATCTAGACGTTTACATTCACCTTAATTCAATTTAATCATTTTAAATCATTTAAAAAAAATAGTCATTATATAAAATTTCTGGATGGAAGGGATGTTGTGATAGTAGTTTTGAAACATATGTCCTTCAAAATTAACAATTAATACTGTTAGTTCTGAACAGTTAGTTCTAATTTATTTAAAAGGTAAGAAATATAATGTAGATTTGACTCTATAATTTGTTAGGTTTGTTTTATGTTGTCAAATGTTTCTAGTTAATAATATTGTTAAAAAATATATTTCTAACAAAAATAGATACGTTGTAATAATTATTAAACAACAAAAATACTAGATATGATACTGAAACATATAAGTGAAATTGTCTATTATTTAATAATGATTAATTATTTTTAACATGTATTAAATATAAATAAAAATGTGCATGCAAAAATATAAAATTTGGTAAGTCTAAGTGAACTGTAAATTGATTTGTTTACTACATCGTATATTATGTAGATATTTATCAGTGAAGGGTTATTCCCTTATTTATCTCGATTTTTGACCGAAATTTACCGCACGTTGCTCAACTATTTTACAAAAACTACTTTTAGTTTTTATAAAATAACAATTTATAACGTTTAAACAAGTTTGATTGAAGAAATATTAAGACCTTTGAGATGATTTAGTGTTTATTATTACATAAGGTGTTAGGCTCATATACACGCAAATTGTTGTTATTGGTCAATTTCGAAAAAATACAGAGGCGGCAAAATTAACAGAAAGTTGTTTTAATATTTTGCGAATTCGCATAATTTAAAATCTAGGGGGCGCCGGGCGGGAATATTGAAACTAATTTAATTTTTGCGAATATTCGCTGCAAATTTTGAGTTTTTAGTTTAAAATATATCTCTCTTGTCACCTATTTCTTGTTATGGATATAATAATATAAACATTGGTTAAGATGGAGGAAACTGAAAAATGATGAAAAAATTGTTAATAATCATTATTAGGTCCAACTTTTGTTTGTTATGTGAGCACAATTCAAGAATATACGATAGCAATATTCTCTACTATGGATTTTAAATTGAAACTATCTAAAATAAACTTTAAGAGAAGCGTAACTGCCTACTCTACTCTCTTCACCGGCTTGACGTGTACATAATTAATATATTTAACATAGTTAAAGTAAGGATTATTCGCAACAACGTTATCAAAGCCGACTAATCCCGTCCTAATTAATTTGTGCCTCAAGTAAAACTTCTTGCTGGGTAAATGGTACACAAAGATCCATTAAAGGCAAAGGGCTACTTTCTTTCGACCGTAATTAAATTTGCGATACAAAAGAAACAGGCTATTGACAGCAGAGACTATTGACACTGAAAGAGAAATCTAAAAAATAAAACTAATATTTTTTTTACAAAATAATTATTTTATTCTAGTGACGTAGAACCCAGAAATCTTTACAAGAAATGAATCCACCACAAAGATATAGACATTATTTGTAAGTTGTTTGACGTCTCGTTCTTTGCCTAACTTGATCAGCTTCTCCGGGCATTCTTGGACCAACTTGATTATCTTGACTATAGGATATTTTTTGAGTAACCGCGATGCATCATTGGTTTTGGGACATTAAAAAGATCTTAAAATCCCTAATCAAAAATGCAGGTCCATATTGAAAAAATTGTGTGTGCACAATAATGAAAAACACTATAATTAATCACCAGTATGTATGGAAACAGTTTATGGACTTTATAAAAGATATATACTACATTTTGGATGCGAATATCTCAATCTCGGCACTGGCCAATATTTTGACCGATTGGGCATTTAATATGAAAAGGAAAAACGGCCAAGACTATAAGGATTTTACGGTAAAAACTATTTGGAATATAACAGCCAAGCTATTAATGGAAAAATACCAAAAAGAATATAATATTAAATTTAATCCTTTTACTGACACCGAATTTAAAATATCCCGGGAGGCAAAAAGTGCCAAAAGGAAGGAATTGCAGATGGACCCTCTAAGAAGAAAAGAAATCTCTAAGACACTCAAATACGAAGAATTCAAATTGATGGTACGAAATTGTAATGAAGAATGTCCCGATGGTGTGCAAAAAAAATTTTTGTATTATTCTACGAATTAGCATGGCGAGGAGGAGAGGGAGGAAAATGTTTTGTTTCCTATTTTAAAGATAATATTGATAATATAGGACAACCCCACCGGTCGCGCTGAATACAACCCGATATTCGATAAAACCACTCAAGGAGGAGATATACCTTGTGCTCCGTCAAAATGACTGGTCATAAATAGAGGCCAATCGCATATATGCCCAGTAAGGCCATTCAAAAAATTTATGGAAAAAGAAAATTAATTAATGTTCCAAGATTTTTTAAACAGTAAATCCTTCCTGGAAAATGAGTAAATGGTTCAAGAACCTTCCTGTTGGGAAAAATACGATTGCTCAATGGGTGTCGAAAAAATCAGGTTTGGCTACGGAGAAAGTAAAAATTACTAATCATTCGCTACGTGCAACAGCTGTGTCGACACTAGCGAAGAAGGGGGTTGAGGAGAACACAAGGGTCAAAATAACTGGGCACGCAAACCTGAAGTCAATTAAACCTTACTATCCAGAGAATACAAATGCATGTTAAATATATTAGTAAAAATAAATCATAGCGCCTATAACATGAACAGAATTAATATTTAAAATATATTTTTAATATGACAAATCAGTATTAAATAAAATGTGTATCCTAGCCAGCAGTATTATGATGCGAACAAAAATATGAAATTGGAAATGTAGCGGTATCTGATTACAATGAACTTTGAATTGCTTTCATTATGTTATTTGTTTTTGATTTGAAAATGTAAACAACCTACGGCCGATCACATTTTGACACCGATTTCCTTATGGAAATGAGTTGAATTTATATTATTTTTGGAGCATAAATAACAAAAATAAGTCGTCCAAGTCATTTCCAATTTATTTGGTTTATTTATTTGCATAATTAGGGTGTTTCATTTCCGAATTTTAATTTTAATTCCGGAACAGTTAGTTCCATATATAGTTATTTTTATTTATTATACAAGGTGCTACAAATTCGGGGTACGAGCACTAGTATCTTGGAAATCGTAATAGATACGAACATGGTTAAATTAGGGCAAAGTTGTGCTTTGGGATATTCTCCAACATGCTATCAAAAAAGCTTAAAAAATTTCAAGGATTGCTGGGTTAAAAAAGCGGATTTTTTGAAAAATTAGTTTTATTTTTTCCTGTCGTTACTTTTCAGAAAATCTGAAAACTAATTGCACATTCTCATAGCCACTTTATCAGGGCTATCTGATAGATAGTATTCATAGATTATCAAATTAGCTATAGTTTCTGAGAGACATAGGTCAAGTGTTGAAAGAATTCAGTCTCCTGAGTACAACGATATACCACACTAATTTTTTTTTGGACTTTTTAAAAACACTATTTAAAAACATTTCAAGTCCGGCTCTGCTTTTCCAAATTATTTAACTTCATTATATTCACCGTAACAATATTGATGAGCGTGAATTAACAGTTAATAAGGAAAATGAAAGATTCAGAAAAATAATATCCAGGTCAGAATTTTAAAGATATTATTTTTAACCTTTTGGATTATGAATTTGAAATTTCAATGTACGATCTAATAACGTGCATAATATTCATCATAATTATTATAAATAAATCAACTTCTACAAAGTAGTTTCTAATGTTCTACATGTTCGAAAGCATTACCACCCTTCGTAATGCATAAATATATTTTTCGTTCAATTTCATGTTTAGCCCTTTCAACAGATCCTCTTATTTTACTTCCGAATGTGCATTTTGTACTCAAGTTGTATTGATTTCACTTTTACAAATAACGTCAAGCAATGCCGAACCTCGCTGTCCATTATTTTGCTCTAAAATTTCCAATCCAACTTCCAGGAAAATAATTTGATTTTTGGTATTGTCAAGACTTAAATATAGGCCAACTTGGGTTTACATCAAATTGGGAAAAATCATGTAAAATATAATTCCAGTAAACCAATTTGATATGGATCCAAGGGAATCGTTTACGTATACGTTGACCTAGACATGTTCTTATAGTAAACATTGTTAATTAAAACAATTAAAGTCAGGTCGATGTAGCGTGATGTTTCAAGGCACGTACTAAACATCGGTGTTGGAAATATACAAAGAAAACTTTTGAGCACGCACCCGCCGATGATTGGGACGAGCAGACAAATATAAAAGGGTATGCTGAAGACAGGGAAGAAGTTAGTTAGTTGGTTAGTCCGTTGCAGTCCAATGTTCAGTTGATTGGCCAGTCAGTGATTCGCATCATTAGTCCGTTAGTTGGCTAGTCAGAACCAGTAGCGAAGAATAAAGATGTTCCTGTAAGTACCTTCTTTGAGTATACCATATATTGAGTCTTGGCATTTCCTGGAATTTCCCAAATTTATTTTACACACACTGTAAACCTTATGCTAAATAAATGTGTTCTTATCTAATGGTTGTTTTGATTGAGAGAGAGAACCTGGTATAGCGACCCTAGCAAACAACCCCTAAGCTAGGTCGCGACAGTATTATGTTATATTTATATTATTTTATTGTCTTTGATTTTCTATAATCAATGTTTTGACACACGCCATTGTTGAATTTTAAAGCTTCTCAATATTGTTACGATAAATAGATTAAATATTTAAAAAAAAACAGAGCCAAACTTGAAATTAGTTTCAATAGATTGTGTTTAAGTACCCGAAATAAAAAAAAATATTAAGTGTAGCATATCTTTCTATTCAGTATTCAAGGGTCAGTATTTAAGAAAATTAAGTAGGCTTATGTACATATTTCATAAATTACCAGCTAATTTGAAAATCTGAAAATACTATCAGGTAGATTTGATAAGGTGGCTA